CTAGAATCCCAGTTACCCTCTGGGCGCGGTGGGTTTCGGGAGTCTGTGTTCTTCCAAGCCCCTTCTTCCCTTTCCGAACAAGGGCGAGCCACTGATCCTTTTTTTTTGTAATCTGGAAAAAACAACGAACAAACACCCTTCCCCGCCCGGGCGGCAGCCAACCCGGACCCTATCGCACCACCCCCGACACCCCTTGCAGAACAATGTCTGCGAAAGCGCGTGTTGCGCCAAAATCTAGAGCATGCGCGGGCGCCTCCGCGATCACTTTCAAGGGTTTTGGACGGGAGCGGAGGGGGGACCAGAATATTGCCTGCTGTGTGCAATGCCAACACTCCCCACAATTTCTCGCAAACAAACCAGACAACATGCACGATGCACTAAAATCAGGACCATGCACGGACGCACCGCGATCACTCGGCAATTGATTTTGACAGGGACGGCGGGGGTGGCAGCATATTGCCTGCTGTGTGCAATGCCTTCATGTTGCGACATGATCAAGCGTGGGCACTAAGCGACCACGTTGCATTCACTGCTTATCTACAGGAACCCAGGGGGTGCCTGCATATTGCCTGCTACGCGCAGGCCCAACATCCACATCTTAAAGACCAACACAACATATGATATCCCGCGGCCGTGATGTGCGGGAGCCCCGTGATCTGTCTGCATTGAGATTTGAGTGCCCCGGCACGCGCTGCGCACCTCGCGGGCATCGTGCACCCGGCTGGCGTCTGCACTGGTTCTCGATCATGGTCGATGGCGGCCCCTGCCCATGCGGAGGCTCCACTGCCACTCATGTGGTAGGAGGGCGGGTGGGAGTGGGCGGGATGGCCGTCCTTCAGGGGAGGAGCCTCGACCTCCCCTGGCACCCCCTCCCCCGGACCTGGACGGGGGGCTCGCGACCCGCTGGGGCGTCCGAGGTGGCCCCAAGATGGCCCCAAGATGGCCCCAAGATGGCTCAAGACAGCTCAAGAAATTGCTTCCAGCATGCTCCAAGAGACCCCCAAGATCACCCCAAGACGGCTCCAAGTGACCACGGAGCCTCCCAAGGAAGCCACCAACAATCCCAAATCCTTCAAACAAAAAACATGGAACATCAATGCTGCTAGCCTTCTCGCATTTTTTCCTACACTGACCCTCCGAAGCCTCAAGATCGCTCAAAAACGATCCAAGAGAGCCCCAAGAGGGCCGAAGAGCGCCCAAGAACACAACAAGAGTGCTCAAAGAAACGATCTCAATGGCTCTAGAGGGGCGAAACTCATCGGCGACCCCCTCCCCAATTGATCTCCTCCAAACTGGACCCGGCCGCCACAGCTCAAAAGAGTGCGGCAAGAGGGCCACAACGGGCGATCCAAGAGGCCCCAAAGAGACCCCCAAAAGGTCCCTAGGCTGTCCCCGAGAGACCCCAAAGATGCCCCAAGTGTCTCCCCGAGGCACCCAAGACGCTCCAAGGGGCCCCCTGGCCCGCCATAGGGACCTCAAGACGCCCCAGGAGGACCCCAAAACGTTCCCAAGAGACATCCGAAGAGACTCCGGGAGAGATCCGAAGAGGCCTCTGGCCTTTCTGCCCGCCCTCCTCATTGTCCCCCTCCCCATGCCAAATCTGCCAACGTCCTCCTCCCTCCCTCCTCCCCCTCCCCCTTCCCTCTCCCTATCCTCCAGATCCCCTTCCATCCTCCCCTTCTTAGGGTACGACGGCTTCCCCAACCCTTTAACCACCAGCTCCAGCTAATAACCCCCTGGGGATAATAAAGTTCGGGGTCCAAGGGGGATGATAAACGTTGTCCCAGAGATCTCAGCATAATGATGAAGATGATGACGATGCTGATGATCAATGAGATCCTGCACGTTCATAAGAATTAAACAACAAATCCATACGACTCCCTCGGATATCCATAACATTCCTTTGGACATCCATGGGATTCCTCAAGCAATCCATAAGGTTCATTTGGCAACCCATAGGAATCCGATGGCATCCCCTTGAGATATCCACAAACATCCAACATAATTATTGTAGAATTCCTTTGCAGATCAATCGGGTTCCGTAAGACATCCATCGGATTCCTTAGGAAAGTCATGGGATGATGTAAGAAAATCAACTGGAACCCTTCGGAAAACCCTGGAGGATCCCAAGTACATCCATACGCTTCCTTCGGGAAAGCATCGGGTTCCTTCGGCAATCCATCGGGTTCCTCAGGACATCCATCGGATTCCTTCGGCATTCTGTACAAGTCCAACGGGAATCCATAGGAGAAGGATGAGGAAGAGGAGGGTGAGGAATCCCAGGACCAACTTCCATCAAACAACTGCGACTCGGAATCTAACATTTCTTATATACGTGAGAAACTTTCTTATACACAAACATGTTCAATAACACGTGAAGGCCAATTGGCGGGGATACAAATGAAAACAGCCGGAGTAAACAAGTCGGGATTGGGCGCGCAATGAGGAGGAAGAGGAAAGCCATAGGAAACCGTAAGAAATCTCTAGGATCCCTGAAAAGATCCATCGGCGTCCTCACAAAACCCACGAGTTTCCTCACAACATCCTCAATGCGATTTCGAAGGGAACCCAGGGGAATCCTTCGGAAATGCATGGGATCCCTTGAAAGTTCTGTCAGGGATCCTGAAGGCATCCATCGGACTCTTTCGGAAATCCATCGGATGCCTTATGACATCCCATGTGGTTCCTTGGGACAGCGATGGGATTCCTTAGGAAATCTATGGGTTGCTTTCGGACCCCGTGGGCAATTCATAGGATTCCTTCGGGCATGCATACGATTCCTTCGGCCATCCATCGGGATCCATCGGGTTCCCTAAGACACCCATCGGATTCCAAAGGAACTCAACCGGAATCCTTAGGAGTCCTTGCTATTCAGCAAAAGAAAATAGCAACTTCGATTCGCAACTTTCCCCTGCGATAGAACAAGTTCGGCCTTGCAGCCTTCCTTCCCTGACCAGAACTGCACTGGCCGCGAATAATCAGCACTCCGTGGTGCGGGGGGGGTCAATTGGTTATCGGGGGGTGAGGCTAATTCCACTGATGCTCCTTCGCATCCTTGGTCAGGGCAGCTCGCCTGGGCGCCGCTTCTGGCTGGGCGTCCAAAATTTCCAGCCCGCGATGAGCTGGGGATTCGGGGCCCGCCCATGCGCGGAAAATTCAATCGGAAAGTGGCTCAACGGGATGGGGTCTCTCACATGTTGGCCCAACAGATACCTTCAAACGTTTCTGATGACGTCGGGCCCCGTCTGGACCAAAGGGCCCTGGAAGAGAAGCCAGGAGGAAAATATCAAATTTGGAGAATTGGCGCACAAAGGAGGGGCCAGAAGGAGGAGCAAATTTGGAGAATGTGCCCGAATCCTGGGCAGCACAAAAGTGATTTAAAACGGTGTGAAGCCGCCGCGGTAGATGATGCTGACGAGGTGAGAAACTGTTGGATGCGGTTGAGCGCGGCGCGCATGGTGGGGATACTGGTGGAGATCTGGTCGTACATTTTCAAGGGGGCCACATGTGAACCCAACCCCTGCCCCCCACGATTTCCGATGGGGAGGGTGGGGTTCACATCGTTGAAGTGAATCCCACCCTCCCCTCAGAAATCGTTTTGGGGGGGGGTAGGAGTACAACCCCCTGGATTAAAAAGTGGAGACCGCAGGGGCCGAGGTAGACGTGGTTTGCCTCCCGTTAGGCAGCGGGGCCCCGGGACAATGTTGGATTTGTTGCCAATTCCGGAGTTTCCGGTGCCTCCATCATCCCTTTTAATATTATAAAGGCCAAATGGGGCTCCGACCGGAAAGTGGGATTCTGCCTAGGACTTCCTCAAAAAAAATTTATGGTCGCCTTCCAGGGCGACCGGAAATTCGGCCATGCCACCGGAAAGTGGCGATTCCGCGTGGGACTTCCTCAAAAAAATATTCCGGTCCCTTTTGAGGCCGCCAGACAGTGGCGATTTCGCGTGGGACTTCTTCACACATTACTTTTTGTCGCATCTCATGCCACCAGAAAACGACGATTTCGCTTGAGACTTCCTGACATTCGAGTTTCTGGTCTCATGTACGCTCACACAGACGCCGCGGACCTATTCCTCTTCCCACTCTCTCCTCTTATCATCACAGTATTTGATTGTTCCGTGTCGCATGCTCTCCGTGCAAGTCAGATTCCAGTTGCCACAGCCTCGCGCGCGCGGTCCTATCTGCGCCTGGGCGGATGTCCGCAGGGATGGCCGTTGCATCGTTCGGTTCACAGGTTTGTCTTGGAGTCATCTTGAGGCCATCTTGAGGTCGCGTCGGGTCGCAGGCCCCCCTGTGGGAGGTTCGATCCCAGGGTCATTTTGGGGCGACGCGGTTGACCCAGGATGTACGGTCCAGAATCGACGATCCAGGATCGATGATCGAGGATACACGATCGATGACCCAGGACCGACTGTGGAAGAGCGAACCCATATCGATCGGAAACGAGGCTTTGGGTTCCACGGCCGATCAAAGTTCGACAGCCACCTAGCGATTGAGGGTCGGAGATCGAGGGTCGAGGACCCAGGGCCGTTCGGACATCGAGGAGCCAGGATCGAACGGCCACGATCCGTCGAAGTTCGACGCTGGATGGTTGAGGGTCGGAGATCGAGGGTCGAGGATCCAGGGCCGTTCGGACATCGAGGAGCCAGGATCGAGCGGCCACGATCCGTCGAAGTTCGACGCTGGATGGCCGATCGAAGAGCGACGATCGAGAACCGATGTTCCAGGCTTGATCGAAACTCCAGGCTCCAGAATGCCTGGCCGATCGAACATCCATGATCGAGGTTCGATCGAGGCTCGAGGATCGAGGATCGAGGGCCCCAGATACTTCGAGGGTCGAGGATAGAGGTCCGGTCGAACAGCGACCATCGACTTCCCAGGATCCAGTCCCGATCGAAAGTCGCGGCTCGAAAGCCGAACGACGGAGGAATACCAGGATGCGGCTCTTTCGGTGTAGCTCCGATCTCAACTTTTTAATCCAGGGGGTGGTAGGATTCACATGTGGCCCCCCACTTTCTGGATGAGGGTGTCCTTGTCGGTGAGCATAGGGTCGCACCTTTTGCAGACGGCCGAGAGCACGGCGTCGGTGCGAGCAGAGAGGGCATCGGCGAGCTCCTTGAACTGGAGCTTGGCGTCGATATCCATCTCGATCTTAAAATCGCCCATCGGCTTCGCGTGGCACCGCGCACCGGCGTCGAGGAAGGAGAGCGCGAAAACAGCGGGGTCCGCGCGAGCGTCGCCGATCACGAAGGCCCAGGACACGAGCTTCGCGAAGAGCACGGCGCACTCATCCTGAGCTTGCTCGGCCAGAAAATCCGCGCGTGGAGCATCAGACTTCCTGCGCGAACGCGATGGCCCGAAAATTGATCGCGGAGATCACCGCGTGGCGCGCGACACTCCGCCTGTGGTGCGCGAGGTTCCGCCCGTGGAGCGTCATGTTCCGCATCTCGCCCTCGCTCGGACGCCCATTTCCCGTGCATTTTTCGATTTCGTGCGTGTTTTGTTCTGCTCGATGGCCCAGGATCGTCCTCCATGGTTCTCGCCGAGAAAACAATGCACACGTCCGAGCGATGCCAGGGCCTCTGGATCGCGGAGATCACCGCGTGGCGCGCGACGCTCCGCCCGTGGTGCGCGGGGCTCCGCCCGTGGAGCGTCGTGTTCCGCCTGTGGAGCGTGGAGGGCAGCCCGTGGGGCGAAAGAGCCCGCGCGTGGAGCGTGAAGCTCGTTCCCGTGGACCTCGATGGTCCGCGGGCCGATCTCGGCGGTCCGCGCGCGAGGCCTGACGGTCCAGTCGTGGGCGGTGGGGATCCGCGCGTGGAGCACGACACGCCCTGAGGCGGATCGAGGCGACGTCCCCCGCGTGAGGCGCGCGGCGCCTCGCGTGGAGAGCGTGCTCTGCCGCGCGCGGGGCGCGCGGTCACCGTCGCGTGCTGCGTGAGAGGCTCGTCGCGCGGGGCGCAGGGCTCCGCCAGTGGAGCAGGAGGAGGAGGAGGAGGAGGAGGAGGGAGGAGGAGGGAGGAGGAGGGAGGAGGAGGGAGGAGGGGAGGAGGAGGAGGAGGAGGAGGAGGAGGAGGAGGAGGAGGAGGAGGAGGAGGATGTGGAGCGTGATGGTCGGCACCTAGCGCGTGGAGCTCAGCCAATTGGGGTTTGAGGGTCCGCCCGTGGCGCGCGAGCTTCCCCCGCGCGGAATGCGAGGATACTCGGGCGGAGCCTGGCGATCCGCACGCGAAGCGCGCAATTTTCAACGCGCGGGGTGCGCGCGGTGCTCCTCGTGCGGAGAGGGCGCGTGCAGCGGCAGCACCTCGCGGACGGTACTGCTAGGTGCGCGGCATTGGCATGAGCTTCCGAGCAGACGAAGCCGCCGTTGGAGTCGAGGCACGCACGGGCCAGCCCACATCCCCGGCCGGCGACGTCGCGCGGGATGGACAGAGCAAGACGAGCAAGACAGCCGCGACGCTTACACGACGTTGCTAGGCCTCTGATTGATGTTCCCGGCGATCGCGTCGAAAATGGAGATGTTGCGCGGTGGCGCCGTCGTCGGCGCAGGGCTGCAGGAAGCAGAAGCTGTCACCACCATGCTCATGAATTGGGGGGGCACGACCATAGCGTCGTGCAAGAGGTCAGACGATGATTCGCCTGGCTTCGTCCCGTCGGCGGCAGCGTGGACGGCAGCGCCATACAGGCCGTGCGTATACGAACTTGGATGAGCCGAGCTAGAAGAGGGAGGGAAGGAGGCTGCCTGGCCGCAGTGCCGGGCAACGCGGCGGGAACGCGCGGGGGCGTCCGCGGCGGGGCGCCCAAACATCTTGAGCCACAATGGCATAGGGTGATGCTGATGATGGTGATGACGACGAAAATAATAATGTAGAGATGACCGTTTTGATGATGATGATGATGATGATTTTGATGATGATGATGATGATGATGATGATGATGATGATGAGGATGAGGATGATGATAATGCTGCTGAGTGGGGGTGACGAGTGTGTGAGAGCGCGTGGGTGCGAGTGAGTGCGTGAGTGTGTGTGTGTGTGTGGGGGATGGTAATGGTGATGGTGTTGGTGATGGTGGTGATGGTGTTGGTAATGGTGACGATGATGCTTCAGATCATGATGCTGATGAGGATGGGTATCAGGATGAGGATGATGAAGAAGAACATGATGCTGATGATGATGATGACGACGATGATGATGATAATGATGATGCTGATGCTGATGCTGATAATGATGATGCTGATGATGATGGTGATGATGTGGGTGATGTTGACGAGTGCGATAATTGTGATGGTGATGGTGATGGCGAGGAAGACAGGGGTGCGGGTGAGGACTGCGCGGGGCGTCCAGGGTAAACAAGGTGCCCGCTTTGGATGTGGTGCAAAACATACACCCAAGACATCCGAAGAGGCCTCCAAGAGCCTTCCCAAGAGGACCCCAAGAGGCCAAACTCAACAAAGTCCCATCGGTTTCTTCATGCTTCGGGACTTCTCCATGTTTCTTACTTCCGACAATCCAAAAGGGCCCAAGAGGCCCCCAAGAGGACACCTAGACGGCCAAAGAGGCGCCGAACACTGCCCAAAAGGGCCCCTGATTGGGGAATGCGAACCGAACATCCGAGCCTTCCGCCCCAAGAAGCATCCAGGAGGCCCCAGAAGCCCCCCAAAGCCCCCACGAGGTCCCAAGCAACCCCACAAAGGCTTCTGAACTGCCTCCAGGAGGCCGCCGACAGGCCTCGACAAGGTCCAAACGAACATCCCCACGGCATCAGACCAACCACCCAGGCACGGTGGGTTGGGCCGAAGACCATTCGACATGGACTGGCGGAGTGAGCGAAGCGACTACTGCCTTACAATTTGGGGTCCATGATCCATGCTGACTAAGTAACGCTGCCACGGGAGGAGGGAGAGGGAGAGAAATGAAGGAGGAGGAGGATCCTCCTTCTCCTCCTCCTAGTCATCCTCTTCCTTCTCCGTCTCCTCCTCCAACTCTTCTTCCTGCTCCGATTATTCCTCCTCCCGCCTCCTCTTCCTCCTCCCCGCCCCTTCTGACTCCATCTCTTTCCCCTCCCCTCTCTCCCCCATCCACCCCTTCTCCATATAAGGGCTCAGTCCTGTCGCCCCCCAAGACGTGTCCGCAGAGCGAGCCAGGCATCGCCTGAGACTTCCACGCCCTCGATGACCCCGCAGCTTGAGATTTGCAATGGCTTCAGAATCGGGGGGCAGGCCGTTTTCAAACTGCGGCTCTCGCCTCGGCGCGCGGGGCACCCTCGTCTTCAAATTCAGCAGCAGCTTCGACTGGCCAGCGCTCGGACGTCGCTTCCCCGTGTTTTTGTTTCGGTTTCGTGCGTGGTTTCTTCGCCAACTGATCAAGGATGCTCCTCGATGGTCCTCGCCGGCGGAAACATGCACACGTCCGAGCGATGCCAAGTTCAAAGCGTGGAGCGCGGATCCTCCTTCAAACTGCAGCTCTCGCCCTCGCGCCGCGCGCGCGCGCCGGTGAGAGGGGGGGCCCAGCGCCGCTCCGAGAGGGGTCCGCGCGGATCTCTGGAAGTACAGTCGGGGCGTTGACCTGAGGAGCGAAAAATAAGGAACGAGGCCCCTTTTCCCCATCCATTAAGCTCCGATTTTCCCATACATTAAACTCAGATTTTAACGAACAATGAGGAACGAGGCCCCTTTCTCCCATACGTTAAACTCCGATGGTCCATGGAAAACCTCAGGCAAGCCCAAGGAGCACTGTGAAGCAACCAAGGAACACGGTGCCCCTCCCAACAGAAAGGGTTCGTTCTTCAGGGCCCCGACTGCACATGTTTATGCATCAGTCTTCTTCTTGGGTCCTCCTCCTCCTCCTCCACGAAGCCCTGGGGGGTGGGAGGCCGGAGGCCTGCACAGCCGCGTCTTGTGGAAGAGGTCCACGGGCGGCGTCGGGGCCTGCACTCCCGCCTCGGGGCGAAGCGCGCGGAGTCGCCCGCGCCGTGGCCCCCAACGGAGGGCACCGATCGCGCGACGGTCGCCCACAGCCAGGTCCCCAGGGGCGTGCAGCGACGGATCTCCGGCGGCACTGGTTGAAGCACTTATAGGTCGGGGTAGTGGAACGATTCCCGTTTAGAGGAGTCTGCCCCACTTTGAATGAGTAGGTTCCTGTGATTCGTGAACTGGTCTCTGCGTTCAGGGAGTGCTGTTTCGTCTTATGTCCATTCGCTGCGCTACTTCGGTAAATCAGATCCTTGTTTTACTAGAGCGTGCATCTTGCTGGTCACCCAAATCTTTTCTTAGAGTACGTCTTCGTTCACTACCACTACCCCTGTTTGTCGTTGAGACGTGTTTATTTCAACCCCGGTACTTCCCTCGCTTTCTCCCGCCCAGTGGATGATGGCTTGCCACTCCGATGGGTCCTCCGCTACTCTCTCCTTCGGCAGCTCGCACTGGCCGCCCACCATCCAGCACACCCGCTTCGGTCAGTGCCTAAGGCCGCCCGCGCACTCTTCGTGGCGAAGACTACGCCTGAGACCTCTCTTGGCGGGCAGGCTCCTCTGAAGGGGGCTGCTTCTGACAAGGCGCGGGCCTCACATTTTTCGTGGGCGAAGAATTCAAACCATATTTTTTGTTTGTTGTTTTTTTCCTGCATGTTCACGGCCGCAGTGCACGAGCAAGCGCATGTGGCCCGTCCCGGGGCACTGAGCATGAGATCCGCTTCCCCTCACGGGGGCTATGAACGCGCCCATCGGATACAGGCACGGACATGAGGAGGAGGAGGAGGAGGAGGAGGAGGAGGAGGAGGAGGAGGAGGAGAGCGAGGCGAGGGGAGACAGGAAACACGTGCATACTGCAAGGAACCCGAAGCTTTCGAAACCCAGCCGCGGCACGTGAAACTTAGGGCCTGCTCAGCCGCAAGACGAACATCGGAGTAAGCAGCGCATCCACACCTGACGCCAAAAATGCCGAAGCACAGTACCCGAACAAATCAGGGAATGAGGAGGGGGAGGGGAGGAGGGCAGAGAGAAAGGCCAGAGAAATTACTGTAATCCCGGGACCCTCCCAGCGTCAGAGGATCTGAATTCAGGCACGCTGTGCTGTAAGCTGCGTGCAGGAACGTCCCAATGGAGTGAGACAGGCAAGGCTAAGAGTTGCTCCCGAACGCAACTGAAACACTGAATGATGGACGAGGCTGTCCACACGGCCATGCCGTGTGGAGGCGGCGAGCCAAAGAGGCAGCGCGAGCGAGCAGCGGCTCTTTGGAGGGAGCGGCCCACAAAACCGGGCGGCACGTCAGTGGCCCACCTCCGCATGCAGCCGGCGCGCGCGCCAATTTACAGCACGGGAGCGGCCATCCTGGCGCACCCCGTGCCGCGACCCCGGGAGAGGAGGAGACGAGAGGGGGAGGACGGAGGAAGGGAGGGGAGAAAGGAGACGCTCGAGACGAGCGCCTGGGGCCTCCACAA